ATTAACTAAGATGTTAAAAAGTTTAATCAGAAGCATTTTTTTATTTACTATGTAAAAATTCAATATACCATGCAGATTATATAAAAAATGATCTATGTACACCCTACTCTTAAATTTATATTCTAAATATATACTACTATCATGAGTGCCTTACTTGCAAAATACATATGTATACTTGATTAAATTTGTATCTTTTAACCTTTTTAAATTTTTTTTAATTAGTAATGGTTTAAATTTTTACTATATCAAACTAGATTTTTTACAAAAAACTTTGATTTATCATTTTATTCATAACTTAAAGTTTTATAGTATTTAATTAGATCTTTTACAAAAACATTTGTCATATTATTAATCCAAATTTAGAATATAGTAATTATTCTTTCTATAAGTTATAAATCTATTACTTTTTATCTTTATAAAAAATTTTATTGAATATTTCTATTATTTCTCTGTGGTCTTTATAAAAATTTTATGAAAATAATATATTTACAGATATTTATGTTAGGAAGATAAAAATTTCTATAATTTAAAAATACAGATTACAACCCTATCATAAATAGGATGAGTAGCACAGGATCTATAGCCATGCTCCTCTTGTATATGTACCTGCACATACCCAGAAGTATGCTTTTTTTTCAAACATTTATATAAAAAAAGCATTTTGCAGAAAATTTTAAAGATATGCCTATAGACATGTATTTAATTTAAAAAACCAAAAGTATGTCTAAAGGGTTTGCTTAAAAATTTTGCCATACCTTTATCTTAATCATGAGTACTAAAATGATCTCATCTAAATATTATTCTACCAAATGTGATATAGTATATTCTGTATAATCACTTAAATATCTCTAGATTCTAAAATATCAAAAATTTAATATTACTAAAAATATTTTTATACTTTTGCAAAAAGTACTTTAAAGTATATAAATAAGATACTCAAGCAATTGATTTTTTTGATTATAAAAAACTGATTTATATACTTATATAATTTGAAAAAAATAAAAATGAAGCTTCAAACTAAGAATTTTTTTATCAATATAAAATATTGTGTTTAGTTATCTGAGTTCTTAAGAATAGCTGTCCAAGCTAAGTCTAGATATTTTAGTTATTACAGAGGTTAAAGCCTAGAATATATTGTTATATAGTAAATAAAACAAACCTAAGATACATATTTAGTTACAAAGAAGTAGAATAAATCATTAAAAAATTAATATTTTTAAAAAATAATTATTTAAAATCTAATAAGTCTTTTTTAGTATTTGTTAATTAAAAAAATATTGTTAATTATTGCTTATATACTATATTATATGACTACAGAGAACCATTAATTCAAAACTCAACTTTATAAAAGGGAAAAAAATTTTAAAGGTCTAATATTATAGATAAAATATATCTAATGATTTTTTGCTTTGCTTGTTCAGATTCATTTTTGTATTGATTATATATCATCTATATAACTTGAATTAGAATCATAGGCTTTGCTCAAAGTGAAACATAAATAGCTTCTCTTAAGAGAAGTAGAACATTGAGCAAGCATTAGTTTTTCTTTTATTTTTTAATTGAGAATTTGTATTAATGCATTACTATTTATTTATTATAGCACCTTATTAATATTTTCAAGTTATTATATATTTTATAAGATTAATCACTTTAATAGCTTTTAAATTTCTTCTCACTTCCTATCAATTTACATAACCTGATTTTTACTTGCTATAGATCTAGGCTTTATAAATAAGTTTCAGTTCGATTTGACTATTTTTAGATCTGATCACATTACTTATATCTTTTTTTTATCACTCAAAAATCTGAATATTGTATAGATAGAGAGTACTCTTATGTCAAAAAATCTCAAGCTAATAATCACTTCTAGCACTAACTGGATTCAATAAAATTACAAAACTTTGTACAACAAAATAGATGTTGAAAATATAAAAAATTGTAAATATTACAAAAAATTGCTATAATAACTAAAATTTTACTTATTAAACACAATTTTTAATATTGAATATATAGGAAATACTATGATTAATTTTTGAATCTAATTTTGGGTTAATCAATCACATTCTATAGATTATTACTCATAGCAGTTCTTTTCTTACACTTTTTTTTCATACAAATCAGATATACAATTCAATTTATTTTGAAATATAATTTAAATTGTTTTCTCTTTATTAATTTTGTTTACCAATTGACATATTGGAAAAAATGTTGTTTTTGCAGATTTATTATTCCTGAATTTTCTTTTGTGTTGTCTTTTGTAGCATCAATTACAACTCTTATTAGCATACTTTCATTTTAGTCAAGGTGTTATAATTTACTTTTTACTATTAATATTTATTATTTAATTATAATAAACTTATTAATAATCAAGATTTATTACTTTGAAGAATGTCTAAATAATATATCAGCCAAAGATTATTATTAAGTAAGCAGATTTGCTATCTAATTCAATCCTTAGTAAAGTATACTGAAAATAGCATTAGCTTGAATATCTAAACAAAAATAAATAATGCATATTATTATTTGTTAAATTTGTTTGTAATCCTAAAAATTGAGTGATTAATAAAAAATAATAGGCATTCTATTAGTTTAAATTAAAATAAGCAAAATTTTCTCATATCAAATAAATATGAAGTTAGAATTAAGACAATTTGTTAGTAATTTCTTTAAAACAGAACTTGAATTAGTTGACAAATATTTAATATATAAATAATTAAATTTTTTTTATTTAATAGAGATTGATATTATAGATATAAGTTTAGATATTGTTTAGTTATGATAGTTATTTGCTAGTATGGGCATATAATACAGCTCTCAGAAGTGTATTAAAAAAAAATTTTTTTAAAAAAACCTAAAATAAACATGATTATAGATTGCAAATTGGTCACAACTATTATGTGCAAATGTGGAGCTTATAACATAAAGGCAAATTTATTATATACTGAATCTATGTATATTTAACCTACATATACTGAATCTATATATAACAAATCTATATATACTAAATCTATCATATTAGTAGCATCTACTTCGTCTGTTTCATCTTTGATAAGAAAAAATAAAAATTTTTAAGGAATTTTCAAACAATTAAAAACTTATGTTGATGATATATCCAAAGTTATTAGTAGTAGTGAAGATGATACAACAAGTGTTATTAAGAAAAATAATATAACATCAGGTTTGGTTTTACTATATAATAAAGCAAATCATAATAAAGAACATACAAAATATGCAAACCAAGCTGAAATATTATCCTGGTATTATTATGCTGAAGGGTTTGAAAAAGAAGTAAAAAAAATATTAAATAATACTAGAATAACTATAAACAAGACAAAATCAAAAGTTTATAAAAAACTTTTGACCCATCTTGTAGATGTTGATTTATAAACTTTATAAAAAAGAACACAAAGAGCAAATACTGTATATAATTTATTTAAAAAAAATTGGAGTTGACAAAATTTGATGAATTAAATCATACAGTTTTTACTCAATTGCAGACCTTATTATATCTCAAATTAAAACAATCGAAGATTATTTTTTAAAATAATTTTTCAGATTATACTGTAATAAAAAATAATATAATGCTTATAAATAAGCTTTTTGTAACCTTATACGTAGTGTAGTTACAGTGTTAAGTTTTTTTAAGAAATTATTTGAAAAATCAAGTTTTACAAAATAAAATAGGAGGTTTTATAAAATTAAATTGATTGTATGACTATTTATTAATTAGCTATTAATTTCTTAAGCACATAAGCTCTGCTGCTTAGACTATACGCTTTGAGCTGTATCAAAAAGTAACTTAAACTGTACACATCTGACTTTGACTTTCCTTTAAAAACCATCAATAACTTATTATATATTAGTCAGTGTAGCATTTGGAGTATCACTTTATTCACCTATTTGAACATAAATGTGTTATCTATAAATATCCCTTATAATGATCAGTGAATTGGTTTAAAATAATGCACTGATTGATTATGAAAAAAGGTTTATAATTGGAGTAACAATTCTAAATTATTAGGTTACCTCAAATTTGTCATCTTGACTCAATGTTGATGTAACAAATTTGAATTTGTTATGTGATAAATTCAAATTTGTTACATTGACATTGAGTTGAAATGCCAAATTTGAGGTAACCTAACTAAAATACCAAAAGTTAATTAGTCCTTTGAAAAAGTTAACTAGTGCTTTATTATCAGTTTAAATTTACATCATTTAAATTATATTTAATACAATAAAATAAAAATTAATACTATACAACATATAGATGCTAATAGTTTAATTATATTATTATTTTTTTTTTTAATATTAAGGTGATTACTTTGAAGTCTGGCATGTTTTATTGAACTTTGGATCAAATGCTAAGGCAACCACATGGGCTACCCCTGACTTTGTTATATTAACGAAGATATATTTTAGCTATATATATAACTTTTGGTTGTCTATTTAAGCAGTCTTGCATATATAACCCATATGAACTATACTAGATGCTGTACCTGTAACCCACTATTACTTGAGTTATCTAATTAAACCCTCTGATCAACTTAGCGCCATCAGGATATTCTCTCCAAAGAGGAACTGCCATATAAGCTCCTTAAGACTTTAAAGCAGACATACACTACTATATAGAGGTCCTTTATCGTTGTGGTAAACCTACCAGAGCAGTTCATATTCTACATATGTATCATTTAGATTTTTAGTAACTTATGACTAGGCCACAGCCAAGTACTTGTGACTTTTTATTTCTGCTACCATTACCTACTCTGTGCCCTTGCAAAGTTTAACCAAACCCAGCACACACTTTATAGACTATCAACAGTACTTCGATGCCAACTGTCGACATTCTAAACTTCCAATCCAGATGGCCTGAGAGGGACCAGTAGGCGTCCCCTGGTATTCTGAATGAATTCTTTTTCCTCTGGCTAATCTGGCGGCCTGGTTGGTATAGTGCTTGCCAAACACTCAGTCCTCATTCAGTTTGCCTTCGGTGTCTAGTTTCTTAAATAATAATCTTTTACATAGTATCATCAAAAATCTGTATTACTTCTCTACTCGGGACTTCCCAAGCAGGCTTCCATATCTCCCGATTTCTTGAATTTATTTGGCTGCTTTATCTGGGCTTTGTATAACTCATACATTACACTATGTTCCACAACCTCCCAATACGAGTTGGTGAGACCAAGGTTACAAGTGCTGACCTGATCAATATATCATATACTGTAGTTTTATCATAATGCATGTTCGCAAATTTGAATTCTGTCATCAGTGGGATTCAAACTCTTGTCCTGCCACTTGAAGTACGACAACTTACCAACTACACTAAGTCGCCACACCCTCTTTAATTATATTATTTTTAAATAAGCTTTATAATTGCTAAATAAAATACTTTAGATTTATTAAAAATAATATATATATAAATTTTGTATTAGGTTTGTAATACAAGTTTTATAATTAGTAGTTAAAGTTAGCATTTAGAGTTAGCATTTAAACTAAGGTTAGAAATTAGATAAATACTATAGTAAAATTATTTAAAAAAAACTTTTTTGTTATATAAAATAAACAATTTTAAATAAAACAACTAGTTGTTTTAAAATTTGTTGATTATATTATATTGTAGTTTGACATTTAACTCTTTTTAACGATTACTTGGTCAACAACAATTTACCGAACTACAGTCAGCGATATAGAAAAGCAATATAGTGAACACAACAATATTCCTGGTTTTGCATTAAGCAAACTTGTTGTCAATGAAGCATACAATACGTGAAATACTGAGAAGTAGACATATAAGAATATTAGACGGGTTTGTATCTTGGGTCAAGTTTTCCTTTCTTCGACAGACTCCCTAGTACGTTCAGCATCCAAACTAGAAGGTTTATTCTAGGAACAAGTAGAGCAAGAGTCTCTGGACAAGAATATCGAGTAAATACTAGGAAACTGGACTATACAACTGTAAAACTTAAAAGAAGAACCTCATATACTTTCATTGACCCTCCACTTTTTTTTCAGTAAAATTTTGTAAAAAAGTGGACATTTTAGCTTACTCCTCCAAAAGATCGACATATTGTTTACTTACCAAATCGGCTGGCATTGTTTATTTTTTTTCTGTCACAACAAACACATAAATACCTATAGAATGTGGATATATGGATTATATGCCTCAGAAGTAGCAACCCAAACAAATGATGCTTCGAGAACAACAGTGTGAATTTCTGACCTCTTTACAGTACTAGTAGCAGGACATGATTTTTCGATGAGCTTTTGTAGGCTGTGTCCTTGATAAAGTGTTAGTGTTGAAGAAGCTGATTTTTCTTCTTTATGGTTTTTGCTTAAATATACTAATTAAATAAATTAGAGTAGAGACTAGTTTAGATAGTAGTATGTAATTTTTACAAAGCCTGACACAGGCTTATAATTGTGACTGTCTGGTGTGAGTAAAAAATCCTATATTTTTCTTTTTCTCGTTTTTTCCTTTACCCTCTTCTTTTCTTGTTTGTACTTTTTATTGTACTCCCTATACCTCTGTATTTTTTTTATATAGTTTTTCTTTTTCTTTTCACTTCTCTAGAAGAAGATACATCAGTTTGGCAGTATCCTATTGTAGGGCGGTGGGTCGGACGAGCCCTCCAGTTAGGGTATTACCTTTTGGTTTTATCTTGCTGGTGCGGCAGGTCACCAATAAGCACTCTTTGAAGCAGCCGTAAGATGTTAAGATCATAGGTTTAATGTTATAGTAATATATTTGCAGTTTTCCACAAGATTGAAGCTTTATTAACATCAATAACTAGTGTGATCTTGCCTAAGTGAAAAAAAAAATTGTAGTTTGAAATTTAATTTGCAATTCAGATATTTGTATTATAATGATTATTAAAACTTAATACAGTACAAAATTTATATATAAAGGCTTTTTAAAAAAAAAGAATAAAATTTTTTCTAAGTAAAGTTTTTTAAACTTTTAATTAAAATATTTCAACAACTATTAAACTAAATTTCATAAATTTTTTTTAGGATTTTATTATTTGATGCATAGTGCACTTGGGTACATCAGTACTACATTGAACAATCATAATAAAAATTTAAACTCAGCTAAATTATTAAATTATATAAATAGAAATTTTTATTTTTTTTTTATATCTCTTTCCTAAAACTTGTACACAAATCTGTTAGTATAATAGTAAACAATATCAACAATGACAATGTGAACTCAAACAACATCATGGATAACAACAAAATAAACTTGTATATAAAATCTATTAGTATATTAGTAAACAATATCGACAATGATGAAGTGAACTCAAACACACTACAAATGCCAACAAAATAAATGTGGAAGAATATTTTGAAGTGGCATGTTACGGCAATGTAGATGTAGAAGAACTAGTTATGAATATTGAAATGGTCACAATAAAGAAAGGTTATTTATTTTCAAGTTTTGATGATGCTGAACAACACATATGATGGTATGCTAAGTTCAAGAGTTTCAAAATAATGTTGGGTCACAGTACTATAATTGAAATGAAAAGTGAGAAAATAATAAGAAAACAAACTATTCTTTGTCGTCACTCCAGCAGATACCAGTCAACAAACCCTACAAAAGCTGAAAGCCAGTTAAAATAGAATGCTAATGGTATGTTAACCTTTCGCAACCATCCAAGCAAAACCTAAACAACTACGTTTATGTGACAATGTTAGAAAATGAATATAATCATGATATGTGCCCTAAGGCAGAGATGTATATTTTGACTGTCCAAAGGCTTTTTTGGTACTGTCCAATGTCTAAATGTCCAAGTGTCCAAAAGTGTCAAAAGTATACTTAAGCTTTAATAATTAATATATTTGTCTAAAATATATATAACTATATATATTTTTTAGGTGCTGAACATATTTTACTTAGAAAGTAATATAGATTATCTTAATAAAATTTTGAGTAATTTTAATTTATTTAATTGTCCAAAATTGTTCAAAGTGTCCAAACTCACTGTCCACAACTGTCCTATAACAATACTGCTCTAAGGTACTTCAATTTGAAAAAATAAGGCTTTTACAAAGAAAATATAGGAATATGTTGAATTTTATGTGAGTCAGTGTCATTTTGGCACAATGTTGATCAGGAAGGTTCTTAAACAAAAATATCTCTCTTGTTATATTTTCTTCAAGAATCTATATAAAGAGATTAGAAAACATAAACCATTAGTACAAGCTAATAAAGGTGATACATCAAGACTCTATAAGGAATTATTGGCCAAGCAATAGCAAGATTCCAGGTAGTTTGTAGAAGTTACGTAAGAGATAGGAACAAATACACTAATAAAGCTATTTTGGATGAGCCCAAACCAGATTATACCATGGTGTGAATTTGGTCAATCAGTTAGGCATGACAATACAGC